TCCCTCCGTTTTCCAGGAACTTGGAGAAGGTCTCGACATCTCGGGCGCCCTTGTACTCAACCATCTGGAGCCGTGGGATGGAAGGGAGACAAGGAGTGACACCATCCCACGGGTGGTGGCAGAGCTGGGGTGCCTGCCTGGGTGCCCCCACCCACCTTCCTGCCCGGCCCTGCGGGGAAGTAGTTCAGGGTGGGGAAGCCGTTGACGGTGATGTTCTCCAGCTCATTGGCCGTGGAGTCCAGCTTGGCGATGACGATGTCCTCGTGGTCCTTGTAGCGCTCACCCAGCTCCTCCCAAGCGGCCGCCATCGCCTGGCAGTGGGAGCACCAGGGTGCATCTGCAGGACGAGCGCCATGCCGGGGGACGAGCCAGGGGACCGGGGCTTTGTCAGGGTGCGGCATCCCCCAGGCAAGGGGTCAGGGATGGGGATGGGGGCTGGCGCAGCGGGGAGAGGAGCACCGTGGCAGAGCTCAGGGCAGGCCATGGGCGGCCCCAGCACTTACAGAACTTGACAAAGACGTTCTTGGTCTCGTCGAACGCCACCTGCTCGAAGGTCTTCCCCACCAGGACCTTGACGGGCCGCGTGTCCCAGTCATCGGGGGGCTCCGCGCTCAGCAGATGGGGCTGCGTGGACAGCCGGGGATGACCACAGCCCGGGGTGAGCAGTGCCAGGGCCCCACAGGGCACAGGGGACAGTGCAGGACAGGGTGCCCCCAGCCTGCAGCCAGGGATGCTCCTGTGCTGCCTTTTGGACCACGTCTTTCCCTCTGCCACCATCCCAGCTCTGTGTGTCTCCACACTGATGTTCTCCTGCCTCCGTTTCCATACCGACTCCTGAAATCCTCAGGCCTGGCAGCACAGGCATCAGCAAGCAGGTGCCTGGCATTCACTGCACAACTGCCATCATTAGGCTTCAGAGTTAACAGCCCACTGCTCACCGCAGGGAAGCCTCCTTGGTGCTGACTGGCGCGGTACCACATCCCTCACCTTCAGCTTGCCGTCCAGCACCGCTTCGATGAAGGTGCGTATGGCTGTGTCTGAGAAGGAGTCCTGGTCCATCTGGTACTTGCGGTTGTTCTCCATCTTGACTAGGCGCAGGGTGGGGGCGTCAGCGGGCGTCAGGCAGCCCACTGCTCACCGCAGGGAAGCCTCCTTGGTGCTGACTGGCGCGGTACCACATCCCTCACCTTCAGCTTGCCGTCCAGCACCGCTTCGATGAAGGTGCGTATGGCTGTGTCTGAGAAGGAGTCCTGGTCCATCTGGTACTTGCGGTTGTTCTCCATCTTGACTAGGCGCAGGGTGGGGGCGTCAGCGGGCGTCAGGCCAAAGAAGGGCAGGACATCGGCGCCGTACCCAGTCACATCCACCACCACGAAGAGCACCTGGGCCGGGGACGGGTGACGTTAAGACTGGGGTGCCCCACTGCCACTCTCCCCATGTCCCCGCCATGGGACCTCCTCACCTTGCCCCGGAAGGCGCCGGCGGCCACCCGGAAGCCATCCTGCAGCTCCAGCTGCGATGATGATGACTTGTTGAGGAAGAGCAGCATGTGGTGGGGGATCTTGGCACTGAAGATCTGGCTGGAGGTCTGGGGAGGAGGAGGAGGGTGAGGGCCAGGGGGCCGTGGCCCTCGCGGGGATGGGGCTGGGGCTGGGCTGTACCTCCTTGGTGAACTCCATCACCAGCTCCAGGCTGTGGACACGGAGCAGCTGGGTGAGCTCGGCCGCATCCAGCCCCTGTGCCAGGTCCACCGGGAAGTCTGTCCGTCCCTCATCAAACTGCCAGGGCAGGGGCTGGT